CAGGCTCCGTGCTATCAGCACAGAGCCCGACGTGGGGCTCAACCTCACAAGCCGTGAGATCATGACCTGAGCCGAAAGCAAGAGCCGGATGCCTAACCCACCGAGCGCCCCAGGCACCCCTCTGGTTTATGGCTTCCTGCTGCTACTTGTCAGTCTCCACAAACACTCGCAGGATGAAGGCGTTGGACAGCAGAAAGTAAAATCTCGGAGGCCGTGAATGTGGAAATTTAATCCAGTGTCATCTCAGACGCCACGGGGCCATTCGCTTAAGTATCTCCCCGATTCCCGTCCACCCACCTTCTTCCAGGGCTGGCTCACACTGGGCAGAACTGGATTGCTGCTCTGTCAGAAGTTACCCGGATCCCTTATCATCGTGTTCTGGCCCATTGAGACCACCTGCTCTTTTGGGGGGCCTCTTTCAGTCTTACCCTTTCATACCCTCCCAGGAGGAAGCTCTGGCTGGAGTGTTCTCGGCTTCTGGTCCATCGTGTGCTTAGCCAAGACCTGCTACCTCCTCAGGCGGCAGCCAGGCTTTCACCATGCCCTCTGTACTTTGACCTTTTCCATTCTCTTGCCGTCCATGCTGTCGTTCGTTGCCTTCTCCCTACTTAGCGCTGTCTCTCCCTCGTCAAACTCCGTTTTGTTTCGAAGTACGAAGTGAACCCCGTGCGTCGGGTTCAGACCTCACCTTGGGCTCAGAACATGAGACCTGGACTTGGGCCGCGTACCTTCCTGGAGGCATCTGCGTGAGAGTGGCACCTGTGAGACTGGGTGGGGACAACAGCCAGTGGCGGGCCCGGCATCGAGAGGGGCCCCTCTCCCTGTGCGGGAGTCCCAGTGCGGACCGCGTGCAGAACCCCGTAGAGCGTGTCACAAGGCGGGCTCCCCGGAAAGACGGGATCCGGAGATTCACCCACAAGTTCATCTGCCCCGTGGGCTGGGGTATCCCCTCCCCGGCCGTCTGACCGTAGCCCCGTGTCTGGCACCGAGCTCTCTTGGAAGACTTGGAGAGAGCTTCAGGACGGGACCTGACACTGGTCACGACGGGGTCGCCTGGTGGAATGTGGGCCTGTCCTCCACAGATGGGCTGAGGGCGAGGGTCGAGAGGGTGTGTTCGCGAGCAAAAAATCTATTCCTGAAAAACTCAGCCGTTACCTTTTTTTTTTTTTTTTAAGTTTATTTTTTTTTTTTAAAAGGGGCGCGGGCGGCCTCGGGCGGGATGGGGGGGGGGCCGCGGAGAGAGAGTTCCAAGCAGGGTCCTCATCCTCAGCACAGTGGCCGATGTGGGGCTCGAACTCACAAGCTGTAAGACCATGACTTGAGCTGAAGTTGGACGCTTAACCGACTGCGCCATCCAGGCGCCCCTTTTGGTTTGTTTTGCTTTTAATTTTTAGCGAACTTCACACGAATCTCCTGGCTTGTTAGGAGAAACAGCGGCCCTTTGCCCCCACCAGCTCCCACCTGGAGACGGTCACCTTCAGCTCAGCTGGTCCTTGGAATTTGCTCTCGCCTGTCTAAGCTCCAGGCCGGTTTAGGGCAGTGAACAGGGGTGTCTGCTTCCACCAGCGGAGCTGAGGCTAGACTCCTCTTCGTGGGTTTCCGGCCCCCCGCCCTCCCCGGGTAGCAGCCTGCCGACTTGGGGAGACCCGCCGGCGGGACTGGGCGAAGGACTCGGTGCTGACCCGTTTTCTTACCCGTCTGCCCCGTGTCTTTGGGACTACTTGTTTGTTCTCTCAGCTGGCGACTCCACTCCCCGCCTCTGCCCGTTTCTCACTCTTCTTGCGGGACGTGTGGGTGCGCCCAGCGCTCTATCAACATCATTTTCCCTCGGCAGCTTTAGGGACCTGTTCCGCGGCCCTGGCTGCCGGCCTCCCTGGGCCGAGCTGTCCCGGGAGCTTCTTCCCGTCACCTGGGGGGGGTCCCCTGGCGTCTTTCTGCTGGGCCTCCATCCTCTCTCCCGTGCCTTTGTCTTTGCTGGTTTTTGCCTTTGTTTTGGAGCATATCCACCAGATTCTGCTAGAGACGGGGGCGCAGAGAGCAAAGTTTTCAAGATCTCGAAGGTCTAACGAGGTTTTTATTCTCTTGATTGGGCGTAGGTTAGAAGTGACTTTCCCCTAGAATTCTTAAAGGCGTTGCTGTATTGTTTTTTCATTTCCAGGGCTGCTGGTGAGAAGTCGGAAGCCACCTGACCTCTGATACTTTGTGCATGACTTATTTCTTCCCTCTGGAAGCTCGTGGAATCTTCCCTTTGGCCTCGGGTTCTGAAGTCTGAGGGTGACCCGTGTGGGGCCTGTGGGGAATTTATCTATTGTGCCGGCCATTGGCACACCCTGTCGGTCTGAAGTTTGGTTTTTGGTTTTGTTTGCGTTCCTTGATCACAGCGCGTGTGTGATTTTTCTTCCTCGTTTCTCTGTCGTCTTTCCTGGGAGTCATTATTCCATGGTTGGGCCTCCTGGATGGCATCTCTGGTTCTTTCTGCGACTCCGCTTCCTGAGTGTTTCCTGTGTTTCTATGTTCTGGTTCTTGACTTGGGTTTTTTTTTTTTTTTTTTAATTTATTGCTCAAGTTGTATTGTATTTTTTTATTTCTTAAGTATTTGTTTACTTATTTTGAGAGAGAGAGAGAGAGAGCAAGTGTGAGCAAGGGAGAGGCAGAGAGAGAATCCTGCACTGTGAGTGCAGAGCCCCGTGTGGGGCTTGATCTCATGACCTGCGAGATCACGACCTGAACCGAAATCAAGAATTGGATGCTTAACCGACCGAGCCACCCGGGCGTCCCTCACATACTTTTAATTGGAAGAGCTCGCTTTCTCTCTCAGTGTTTTTTTTCTGACCCTGTCTTCTTGTTTCGCGGGTGCAGGACTTCTCCTCACGTGTCTTCCCGTCCCTGCCGGCCCTGCCCTGTTCGTCCTCTGTCTCCCCAAGGTTTCCCCGAGCTGCCACTGAGCCTTGGCCGTCGGCTGTGTTTGAGATCAGGCGCCAGCAGGCTGCTGGGAGCCCCGAGACTGGGACGGGCTCCTGGGGGCGCCCTTAGTTGAGGTCCCTGGGCCGAGGGGACAGCCTCACTGGCTCTGGCCTGAGAGTGTTAACCTAATCGCAGGGGGTGTGCCTCCACCCACCTCTCGCCTGGAGCCCTTCCGGTTTGCTTGCAGGGCACATTCAGGGCCCAGCTGCTCTTTAATGGTGTCTGTGGTTCCCCCCGCTCCGGACCCCACTTCTCAAGGCGCTGCCTGTTTCCTCGGTGTCTCCACCACGTGCCCCTGCCCACACCTGCCCAGTGTCGGCCCATCAGGCTCCCCGGGTTTCAGCCTATTTACGCATCCCTGTATCTGGTTTGGGGGGGGGGGTGCCCCAGGGCCCTTCGGCGGGCGGCAGGTTTCTCTGGCAGCTCGCCCCGCCTCCAAGACGGGTCATGTGAGTACCTGTGTTCGGCTCAGGCACCGTGTGGCTGTGCCCTTGACGCCTGAGCCCCCAGCCCCGTGTGCACCGACCTCTCTGGCCCCCGAACCCCCGCTTCTGTGCTCGCGCTGCCTGGACTGCACGCCTCCTCTTGACCCTGGCCGTGTGTGCGGTCCTGCAGCTCAGGAGGCCGGGCCTGCTCCCCTGTCTGGCTGGGTCCAGACCCTTTGGCCACGTTGTGGGGCCAGGTCAGGTCCCTTTTGTCCATTCCTGTTCCTTGCTGGCAGCTGGCCTTCCGCCCCTGCGTGTTCCTCCGCGTCCTGATGGTTCTTAGCGCTGTGCCTTCCCTGACTCTGGTTGGGGGCCTTCGACTACCTTCTGCTATCTGACGGAAGGCCATCAGGGGGCTGGGCTCGACCTCTGACCTCTGACCTCGGCTGGGCTGTGATCTCTGGGCATTGGGCCATAGGGGGCAGGGCTTTAACAGCTGGTTCCCCCCAGGTCCTTCCTCAGATCCCTGTGAAGAGTGGTGGTCCCCATGGGGCAGGGGTCCTCGGTGAGTGGCTGACCCCTCTCCCTGCCCCCACCCCGGGAGGCTCCTTGGGGACCTGTTGGCAGCCCTTCCCCCTCCAGAGGCCCAACTGGGGAGGGAGGTCGGGCAGGTGACGGGCCAGGGCGGGGGCTGCATGGCCAGAGGCCCGCTGGAGCTGTCCACTCCTCTTCTCCCAGGGGTGCACCTGGAGGGCCCATTCATCAGCCGGGAGAAGCGAGGTGCACACCCCGAAGCCCACCTGCGCTCCTTTGAGGCCAACGCCTTCCACGATGTGCTGGCCACCTACGGGCCTCTGGACAACGTCCGCATTGTGACGCTGGCTCCCGAGCTGGGCCGAAGCCATGAGGTGATCCAGGCGCTGACAGCCCGTGGCATCTGTGTGTCCCTAGGTGAGGACTGCCACCTCCAGGGTTGGGCCCGCGTGGGGTCCTGGGCTGGGTGCACACTTTGAGTCCAGGTCCCCTATGCAGGACACTCGGTGGCCGACCTGCAGGCCGCGGAGGAAGCCGTGCAGAGTGGGGCCACCTTCATCACCCACCTCTTCAACGCCATGCTGCCTGTGAGTGCCCCGTGCACCCCCCCCCCGCCAACTCCCTGGGTGGGTAGGCGCAAGGGCTCCTGCCGTCGCTCAGCTGCCCTCCTATCTTTGTCCAGTTCCACCACCGTGACCCCGGTATCGTGGGGCTCCTGACCAGTGATCGGCTGCCTCCCGGCCGCCACATCTTCTACGGGATGATCGCGGATGGCACGCACACCAACCCGGCCGCCCTGCGCATCGCCCACCGGGCCCATCCCCAGGGTGAGCGGCAGGGCGGGGCGGGGCCCGGTGGGAGGACTCGGCCGGGCAGCTCCTGAGTCCCCTTCCTTCCGCAGGGCTGGTATTGGTCACTGACGCCGTTCCCGCCCTGGGTTTGGGCAATGGGCGTCACACGCTGGGGCAGCAGGAGGTGGAGGTGGACGGGCTGACAGCCTATGTGGCCGGTGAGTGACCCTCTCGTCCCACTGACTCCTCGACAACGGCCCTTTGGCCTCTCTTGTGGGACGCAGACATCTGCGCGGAAGTTCCCCGCCGGCCTGTGGGCCCCCCACCCCCCATGTGCCCAGTAGCCCCTGGTCCCCCCAGAACCTGCTCTCTCACTCTCAAGGCACCAAGACACTGAGCGGCAGCATAGCCCCGATGGATGTCTGCGTCCGGCATTTCCTGCAGGCTACAGGTTGGTGAGGCTGGAGAGGGCAGGTGTGTGTGCGCACGCGTGTGTGTGTGCGCGTGCGCGCATGTGCACATATGTGTGTGGGGGGGGTTGGAGGGAAGCACGGAGACCCCTGGGCTCTTGCAGCGACACCCCTTGTGGGATGGGATTCCTAGGAGTGGAGCACCAGGAACGCGGCTGAGGCCCCCTACAGCAGCTCAGGGGCAGGTTCGGAGAGCGAGGAGCAAGCATGTGGCTGGGACCCAGGGTGATAGGCAGTGAGGCCACGGCACCGAGAAAAGGGTGCTCACCGTACCCACGGGAAGGCCCTCGGCCTGGGGCCTGTGGATTCGCAGGACTCCATGGGTACGGAGCTTTAGGGAGGGGAGGGGGGCGGTCGGAGCAGCGCTTCAGGCTTGTTGAGGGGGTAGGCGTGTCCGGGGGGGGGGGCCCGGGCGGGGTATTTGGCAGAGGCTGTGGTTGGCCGGGCCCTGCGGGATTCTTGGCAGTGCCCGGGGCTGGGGTGTCACCTGGGGGTGCCCGGGTTCAACATGCTGTTTAGAGCAGCAGGGAGACAGGCCAGGAGGCAGGAAATGGCTGTAGGCTGGCTGTTGTGGGGAGGGGTGGTGAGGTAGGGAACAGAAGAAAAAGGATTCGGTCGTGTGGCTTCTTGAGAGGGAGCAGGGACGGAAAGCCAAGACCAGGTGGCCTTGTTGATGCCCAGGCTACTGCTTCTTTTTGGGGGGCTCTTCCCGGGATCCAGAAGGAGGAGGGGCCTGCGGCCATTTGGGTCCAGGGCATTTGTCAGTGAGGCGGGGAGCCCTGCAGAGCTGGGATGGGTGAGTGACCAGGAAAAGGGTACCTGGCAGTGTCCTCAGATGAGGGGGAAGGCAGGGCTTTGTCAGCCTGCTGCAGAGACCTGGGATTTCTCTGAGACTTGGAGCTTTGAGGCTGGGGGAGAGGCTGCCCACGGAACCAGCTGGGGATGCGGGGTGACTGGCCGGTTGTGTCCCCTGAGCAGGCTGCAGTGTGGAGCTGGCCCTGGAGGCTGCATCCCTGCACCCCGCACAGCTGCTGGGGCTGGAGAAACACAAGGGGACCCTGGACTTCGGGGCTGATGCAGGTCAGGGCCCGACGTGGGCACCCGGGCCGGTGAAGACTCGGGAGGGCTCGGGGACTCGGGACAGTGCCAGGGCAGGTGGGATCTTCCCTGCGCCCAGGTGGCCTTATCTGGCCACCAACCTCAGCCCAGGTTCCTCTTCCCGTCCGGTCAGGTGAGGGGCAGCTGGGGTCTTTGTCCCGTGTGCCCTGCTTCCAGGAACGTGGGTTCCAGGGCCTTGGTCAGCCTCCGATGGGGTGGGGTGGCTGTGCCCAGAATGTGTCCCAGGCTTCAGTTTCCCCACCAGCTTCTGGATGGGTGTGGGGTGGTGGTGGACCCACCCCTGCCTCTGTCTCACTGGCCGCCTCTGACCCAGACTTCGTGGTGCTCGATGACTCCCTCCACGTGCGGGCCACCTACATCTCGGGCGAGTTGGTGTGGCAGGCGGAGGAAGCCAGGCAGTGACTGAGGACCACGGCTGGAAGGGACGACCAGCCTGAGCTGGACACTGTCAGGGCTGAGCCGTCGAGGAGCTGGTCTCCAGGGAGCGAGTGGGAGCCCTGCCCCAGGTGGAGGCCTGCCAGGTGGAGGCAGCTGGATAAACGTTCGCCCCGCAGGGACTTGTCTCGTGTCTGAGTTTTGCTTCAAGGCAGAGCGCCGTCCCCTCGGTGGCTCTCTGGGTGGGGTGGGGAGGAGAGCGGCTGGATTCTAGCTGATCCCAGCCTTGGGGGGCCCCAGTGAAGGTGACAGGGCCCCTCTCTGTTGGACAGTCGAGTCTGAGGCCTGCAGCCTCACACGCAGTTGTGCTGGTTGGAAATGAAGGGCGGGAGGGGAAAGTCCTGGGTCGTAGGTTAGAAAGCAGACAGGAACGGGCTTGGGGACGGTGAGTGTGGAGGGCTCCAGAAATTTACATGTCGGGGGACAGAGGAGAAGGGTATTCTTGGGATTTTTAAATTTTATTTTGAAGGAGAGGAGGGGCAGAGAGAGAGAATCCTAAGCAGGTTCTGCACTGTCAGTGAAAGGCCCGACTTGGTGGTCGATCCCAGCAAATTGTGAAACTGTGAGCTGAGCCGAAATCGAGTCGGACCCTTAACCGACTGAGCCACCCAGGCGCCCCAGTGCTTTCTGGGATTTTAAGTGGGAGAATTGATTGTGGAGACAATTAGGAGCTGGGGCTGGGAGGACTTGGATGTGGGAGGGGCCTCGGGTGGGACGTGCAGGGCATTTGGAGGCCAGGCCGGCTGTGTGAGGATGGCCCACGGGCTCCCCTCTGCCCCTTTAGAGTTGGGCCAGTGAAGCAGAGGCCAAGGCCATGGTGCTGGGCCTGAGCACACTGCGAGCTGTTTCTCCTTGGCCTTCAAGAGGACTCCAGGTTGCCTGGCTCTGAGTGTAGGAAGCAGTGGCCGAGGGGCCCAGAGGTGACCCTGGCCACCGCTCCTTGCCCAGCACGCAGCCCTATTTCTTTGAGCCCTCGGGGTAATCAAGGCTCGGCTTCCTTTGGGGCCTTTTCTGAACATCCCCTTCTCCCCATCCGACTCCCAGGTGGGCCCGGGGATCCCACGTGCCCCCTGGGTTGCGCCGCTGTGGGTGACCCTGCCTGGTGCTGGTGGGCAGCTCGGGGATCACCAGTGTCTGGAGCCCTGCAACTATTTGCCCGTCAGTGTCATCCCGCGGACGTCCATGTCCCCCAGGCCCGGCAGCAGTGCCCCCACGCTGGGAGCAGGGGCTGATAGGGCCGCTTTGAGGCAAGTGGGCTTTGGGGAGCCCTGCAGGTCACGAGGGCAGCCGCGATGTGGCAATCAGACATCCAGGGTTGGCGTAGCCCCAGCGCTGGGATCGATTTTGTCCCAGTTTGTGTGCTGGGGTGGGCCGCGCCTTCCCCCTTTTGAATGGGTGAAGTTCTTGGAATAGGAGGTCAAAGGCAAATGTCCCAGGTCACCTGTGGCTTGGCAACCATCCCTTTTGCCTCTGCCACAGAGCCCACTGCAGAAAGCGTGTCCAGGCCCAAAGTGACAAAAACAGCCTCTGGCCCCAGCCGTGTGCCAGGCTGAGTGAACAGTCTGGGAAGAGCCAACACCGTAAGGCAGGGCTCAGGAAAGGCCTGGGACAGCAGCCACCTCTCGGTGTACCAAGGGGCTGGGTCTCTGGCCACATGCCTGTGGGCAGCAGGGACATCACAGACCTAACAGGTGACTGACCAGCTCCTGCATCATGCCAGCGCCCGCCGGCTGCACCAGTGATCCAGGGGCAGGGCGGGTCTCCCCGAGCTCACCCTGGTGGGAGGGAGCAGGCGGTGCTCCCAGATATGTTAGAGGCTGAGCAGTGGGCACTTGCCTTATTTGGTGCTAGGTTTTATTCCACGTGCATTGCCAGTGTTAACCCGTTCTCTGCCAGACATCCAGAGGAGTCCTCCCCATTCTCGGACGGGGAAAGTGGGGCTCCCAGTTCGAGAGCTGGTGAGTGCCGCAGCGAGGACTTGGCCTGGCCTGCTCAGCTCGGGGGGCCTCACTTAAACCTGTCAGCACGCTGACTCTTGGCTGGAGCATCCGGGAAGGACTAACTGCGCTACTGGTCCGCAAGGGTGACACCAGGGATGGCAGGGGCCGGTGCTGGTTGGCACGTGCACCCAGGCCAGGGGAACCGCCCCACAGAGATCCAGTGGCAGAGGCTTAGTGCGTTGGGTGGGACAGTCGGCCACCCTCGCCAGAAAGGGGTGTGGTCATCACCACCGTGGCCTCCAAAACGTCTTCGTCGCCCGTCAGAGCAGCTCTGTTCCCACTAGATTACTAATCCTTGTTACCCCTCCTCCAGCCCTGGCGCCCACCATGCCACTTTGGAGTCTGAGGCTGCTGGGTTTTGAACAGAAGATATGCTGCCATTTTAAGTAAGACCCCCAGCAGGAAGGCCCTGAGGGACTGGCTCTAGGGTGGCAAAGGGGCTGGAGACAAGTGAAGTGGAAACGTGCTTGTTCTAGTGTGGGTGTAGACCCGGATGCTGGGGGGGGGGGGGGTGACTTTCATTGAGGTGGGGTCCTTGGAGAGGTGACCTGGCGCGCCATCCGTACCTCCTTCGTGGCTTGCTTTGTGTTGTACGTGAGTGGGAGGAACAGAGGGCCCAGTGGTGGCGAGACCCGATGCAGGGGCGGGTGCGTCGTGAGTCCGCGGAGTGGGGCGAGGGCCGCCTGGCGGCCGCACCTGAACACTACAGAGGCGTCCACTTGAGGGTCCTGGACTGCTCAGAGTGCATACAGGTTCGAGTCCAGGCGCCGAGGCGTCCCTTCCGAAGCTTCGGTCTCCGTAGGCTCCGAGCGCAGGGTCCCAGCGCTGATTCGTGCAGAGGATCTGGGTGGTCCAGACCGGAGAAGCGGCTTAAGGGTGGGGAGAAACCGCGCCCGAACAGGGGCTGGCCGCGAACGGCAGAGCGTGCGCAGTGAGTCCGGTCCGACCCGCTCCGCCGCGGGGCGGCCTGCGGCCCAGGAGCCGGGTCTACGCGGACCTACTGCTCCTGTAAGAGGTGCGGCGCACAGGGCTGGGGGACGGGGGGGAAATCTCACTTGCTTGTGGGAGGGGCTCCTCCCTGGGGGGCGGGCTCTGAAGTGTCAGAAGGGGCGGGCCTCTGCCGGGGCCAATCAGGATTGCTCTGCGGAGGGAAGAGTCGCGGCAAAGCAGCCGGGACGCGCGTCGCTCGCTGACCCAGTACCGGTTAAAGGGCCGACCCGGAGCCGAGAGCCCCGGACTGCGCGGCACGGGGCGGGGGGGCGGGGGTGCCGGGGGCCAGGGCCCCCCGCGCCCCCGCGAGCCGCGGACCCCACTGCGCCCCAAGCTGCCCGGCTACCTCTTCGCACACCTTCCGGCCTCGCCGCTCTCCTTCTTTCTCCTTCCAGTCGCGCCCATGTGCATCCCTCTTGCCCCACGGCTCCTCTCCGCCCCCCTCTGCGCCCCTTCTCTCCCCGCCCTCGTGGGCGTTGGGGAGTTGGGGGCAGGCTCCACTGCCTGTCCCGGCTTCGCCCCAGCTCGGAGCCTGCTCCGGGTCGCGGGGGGCGGGGCGGGTGGTACGGGAGGAGGTGTGGCACCAGGAGGGTGAATGGGGGTCGGCTCTGCTTAGACCCTGGGACCTCCTCCGTGTGCCCCTGTCGTCCGCAGGCAGCTCCGGGGTGGGGGGCAGCCCCGTGCCCTGAGCGGTGGCCCTCTCTGAGCCTTGCCTGCCTCCCAGTCTCCCACCATGAAGAGCTTGGTGTGATCCTTCCAACGTGATCCTGTTCCTGTCCCTACGTTTGTGTCTTGATTTGTCTTATGAACTGGAATTGTACTTTTGATACTGTTCTGCTCTTCAGTATTTTCTAGTGAAGCAGCATGAAATGGTAAGCTCCCTGGGTGGGGACACATCGAAACGTGTCACTCTTTTAGCAAGGTGCTCCGTGTTCTCCAAGATGGATGCTTCGTAACGTTAAGCAGATCCCACCACGGACCAGTGGGGCTCCTCCCCCAGCACCCCAACCGCCCTGAGGAGGAGGGACCGCGGAGTGACGCGCAAGGAATTCTGGGGGCCCAGATGCACAAGTGCATTTAGAAGGCAGAAGCGCACCCTGTGTAGGCACTCCTTTTGTCCCCGTGGGTTCCCGGTTTCTGTGTGGCCACAGGAGGGCCTCCTGTGTTAGTTTTCTTTCCCTGTAACAAATTACCACAAATTAGAGGTTCAAAAGAACACACCTTTATTTTGCAGCTCTGGAGGTTGGGGTCAGGAATAGGTCTTGCGGGCCAAAATCAAAGTGGTGGCAGAGTCTGCTTGTCCCTGGAGGTTCTGGGGGAATCTTCTATGTCCAGCTCCCGGATGCCGTCTACACTGGTTGTCTCGTGGCATCCCGCCTTTGCAAAGCCGGTGCGGGCCAGTTGTGTTTTCCGTGTTGTCTCCCCTGAACTTGGACTCCTTTTCTTCCATCTTTTAAGGACCCTTGTGATTATATTGGGCCGAGCTGGGTAATCTGGGATAATCTTCCTCTTTTAAGGTCAGCTTATTGGCAGGCATAACTCTCCCTGTGTAATACAACATATTCACAGGTTGGGTGAACAAGACGTGGACGTTTTCGGAGGGGCCGTTAGTCTGTCCAACGTTCCTTCCAGAGAGAAGAGCCTCGGCCAGGCCTCCGTACTGCCTGGGTCTGAAGGAGATACTACATTCCTATCATCAGTGCATGAAAGTGCTCATTTCCCGATGTGCTTAACACCAGACGGGTTCCGTCTTTGGGATCTGGCCAGTTTTGGGAGTCCGCCCATTTTACAGCTGGGGAAGTTGAGACTTAGGGAAAGAAGGTTACTTGCCTGAGATTTGACACAACTTTTTGTTTCCTGTCTCTAGGGCTAGTTAAAATATGTTACCCACGGAGCACAATTTATACAGGAAGACATTTTTCCCAGGTGGCTGGGAAATTGTTGGCGTTGGCACCTTTGGTCCGTCCACGTGCAGCTGGATGCCTCTTGGGAGCTTAAGTATGGTGACCAGGCACTCAGCGAGCAGAGGCAGGAAACCACATTCTCATCTTTGAAGAGTCTCCTTGTTTTCCTAACTGGATGTGTGTTCATTGATTTCCCTGCCTGCCTCGAAACCTCCAGGGGTGCAGGCCTGGCGTGCCTTTCTTCTCTTGGCTCTCCCCATGTCTCCGTACGTCCCGGAAGAATTGGAATCCTGGCTCTGCCCTCAGCTAGCTATGGTGCCCGGCCTTGAAAATGGTCCCCGGCGATCCTACTTCCGGGGATCCACACCCTAGCAGAGTTCCCCCCCCCCACCATGTGGTGCTGGGCGCCTTTGTGTGACCAGTAGAGTGTAGGAGAAGTGAGGTAGATCCCTTTGGCAATTGGGGTGTAAAAGTCATTGTGGATTCTATGCTGGTGCGCTCTCTTTCTCTGGAATCATTCACTCTGGGGAAAGCCGGCTACCATAGCATAGGGATACTCAGGCAAGCTCTGTGGAGGGGCCACCATGGTGAGACACTGAGGCCTCCACCAATATCTGAGTGAATGGGCCACCTTGGAAGTGGTCCCGCCTGTCCTCGTCAAGCCTCCAGATGACTCAGCCTTTGCTGATGTCTCGACTGCACATTCCTGAGAGACCCTGAGCCAGAACCACCCGGCCAAGCTGCTCCTGGCTTCCCGACCCACAGAAACCGTGAGATCATAAAGGTTTGTCGTTTCGTGTCTCTGAGCTTCGGGATAATTTGTTACATAGGGCTAGGTAACTAATACACGAGCTGTGTGGCAAGTGCCACAGCCTCTGGACCAGGGTTTTCTCCCTTGTGCCATGACGGTTTGAGGAATGAGCGAGAGATGGGTGGAATACCGTGGACCATGGGGGGCACAGGGCCCGGTTTGCAGTGGGGGCTCCCCCGGCCCCAGGCCATGTACATAAGGCAGCTTTCTAGCCCCTCCCAGGATGGTATGGGCATCCCCCGTTCCTCCTTGTGTGGAACATGACCTCACGATGTCAAGCCAGGCCTTGCATTCTTGGCCTCGGGTCACCCCTCCACCAGGGACAGAGGCATTGGGCAGGGTAGGGAGAGAGGAGAGCCATGGGCTGTCCCTCTCCTTCCTCCAGCCGGGGTGCCAGTGAACTGTGTAGTGCCAGGTGAGTCCATCCCCCCTGCTGCCCACTGTCCCGGGACGGGCAGCCACACCTGACCCACAGGGGGGGTGCCCTGCCTCTCCCTGGGTAGAGAGGGGTGGCCTGGCCTGGCCTTGGCTTGCACACTGGCTGCCATTGAGGCCCCACGAGAACTAAGCACTGTCCTTGGTTCCTCTTTCGACTGCTCCTCCCTGCCCTGCCCCTGCAGCCCGCTCCCCTGCTTTCCCCTCTCCTCTCACCCCTTCCCCTGAGGCCAGCAGGGGTGCCTACTGCACCTGCTGCTCTGGTGGGCTCTGGCCTTCTCCGTGTACTTTTCCCTCAAGGTTTTCCCCCTCCCCGTCTCTCTTTGAATTGCTTTGGTGTGAGCGACTAACTAAAAAAAAAAGGTTGAAGACCTTGGTCCCTATTCTGTGACTTGCTTCTCTGCCTTTGGGCTCTCGCTTAGACCTTCCCTCTTTTCTTTTCCGTAGCTGCATCAAATTCTCCAGGATGAATATCCCATAATGTGTTTTACCATTCTCTTGTTGATGAATGTTCTGGTTATTTTTTCTTTTCTTTCCTTTTTTTTTTTTCTTTTTGTTAAAGCTCTGCTGTTATAAACATCCTTGCACAGTTTTACAGTCATGAGTGAGAGCTGCTTACAATTTCCAGGGAGAAGATACATCCATTTTATTAATTTTTATTTGCATCAGTGTTGAAGAGACCAGATAGTTCCTTTTGGTTTTTTTTTTAATGTTTATTTACTTTTGAGAGAGAGAGAGAGAGAGAGAGAGAGAGAGAGAGAGAGAGAATGTGCACATGGCGGGGAGAGGTGCAAGGAGGGGGGGATGGGGAGAGACGGGGGGGGGATGGAGAGATTGGGAGAGAATCCCAAGCATCAGGCTCCATGTCTGGCACAGAGCCTGACTCGGGGCTCTATCCCACAACCCTGAGATCATGACCTGAGCCTAAATCAAGAGTCAGACGCTCAACTGACCAAGCCACCCAGGTTCCCCAAGAGGCCAGAGAATTCTAAACAGACTTGTAATAATAGCAGCCCCTGCCTCACCTCACCTCTCCTAACTCACATCCTGCTTACTACTCTTTAAATGTTCTTCCTGATGTTTATGTCCGTTGTTTTGTACTTTGTCTTTTTTTTTTTTTTTTAAGTTTATTTATTCTGAGAGAGATAGAGAGAGTGAGAGCGCGGGCACACCAGTGGGGAAGGGGTAGAGAGAGGGAGATAGAATCCCAAGCAGGCTCTGTGCTGTCAGAGCAGAGCCCGATGCTGGGCTTGAACTCATGAACCGTGAGATCATGATCTGAGCTGAAATCAAAAGTTGGACGCTCAACCGACTGAGCCATCCAGGCACCCCTGTACTTTATGTATTGACTCCTCACGTACAGTCACTGTCTATTGCCTTTCTGTTACAAGGGATGAGGATTCAGCTCTCTCAGGCCCCCGTTCCTCTCTGGGTGCCTCCGAGGTAGAGGATGGTAACTGCCGGTTGAAGCAGTGCGTCTGTACTGTGACTGTAAATGTGCTTCCTCCCTGCTCTTATCCTGGGGTTTCTCATTAGTCTTTTAAAATTGCACCCCATCCCCAGGCACTCCTGAGTCCCCACTGGTTTTCTTTCTCCCCTATGGCACTTCCTATCTTCTAATATGTCATAAGACTTGCTTATTTGATGGTCTCTCCCACCCTGCCCTTCCTCCCCGCCCCCCCCAGTCCCCAGTGGCATCCGACTCTCACAAGAGCAGAGATTTTTGTGTTTTAATCACTGGTGAATTGTCAATGTCTAGCACTGCTTGGGATGGAGGGGAGACTCAGTGCTTACTTGCTGGATGGACAGATCCTGGGACTTCCATTCACCACCCTCCTGTGTGTTTTGTTTTTTTTCCTGTTTCCTGATCTCGCGTCTTCTTGGTTTACCGCGTCATTTGGTGGAGTACATCAGTCGGTAACTTTCTGGGAAAGATCGCTCTTGATGTGTATTCTTTAGACTCTAAAGCTCTGTATTTATTTACAATTGCATTTAGTGTACAGTCTGGCAAATTTCACATGTGAGATGGTAATAAATACTGAGTATCTCATAGGATTGTGATGAGAATTTAGTAACATACGTCTAATGGTCAGCGTTCTCTGAGGATAAGTTATTATTACTTTGTGAGGACTCAAATAAATACAAAAGAAGGGTTTGTTGGGAGGCAGCTGAGTGCAGTGGCCAAGAGCAAGGTGGTGGTGCTGGTCAGCACTGGTTTGGAGTTCTGTGCTCTGTGACCTGGTAGCTCTATGGCTGAGAGTAGGCAAGGCACCGAAGCTTCAGTTTCCCCAAGTACAAGATAGAAATGGTCATAGTACCTACTGCTCATGGAGCTGTTGTGGGTAAAATCAGATATGCTGATTTTTATAGGTAGTAAGGGTTATGATGCAGAATGTTTCCAGTGTTCTCAAGTATCGAATGTGGCTTGCTTTGGTGGCAAGAGCTGGTACCTACTTTGACCTTGTCTTTGTGTTCACTGAGGGTTAGTGTCTGGAGTGGGGTAAACAATTGGCAGTTTGCAGCATGTATCAAAAGTCGTGAGAGGAATCCCTGTACTTTGACCCAGCAATTCCTTCTGCTAAGAATTTATCCGAAGGAAATAAAGCTGTGCTTGAATTTAAGCGCAGAGCTTTGTCTACGAGGAAGACGTCTGGGAACCACTTCGGTGTCAGGAGGGAACTTGATCAATACATGGGTCTATAAACTCTAGGCTTCCTCCAGTGGAGTCCTCTGCAGTCCTTAGAAGTGGGCAAGATGGCAGTCAGGTGCGGGAGAGCTGTACAGGATACGAAATGAAGACAGTGTTAAGTGAAAAAAGTATCAAACCTGCATAAGCCCTTTTGGGGAGTAGGAGTTACATTTACTTTTTTACTGTTCTTTAAGGTGCAGAACACTCAAAGTTTGGACAAGTAGAGGCTGGACGGTCTAACGCAGAGTCTCTGGCATATGGATATCAAGATCCAGGCTGTGGCTCTACAAGACCTAGGGCCAGTTACAGAACTCAGAATGCCTCAGCTTCCTCATCTGAAAAGTGGGGCAGTATAGCAAGGATACTTGTTCAGAGATTAGGCATGAAAATTCTTTACTAAGAGTAAGTGCTGGCTCAACGTTAGCAGCTATCACTGCTATTCAAGAATTAATTCTCGTTAGTGGGATTATGGATTAATTTATCTAATTAGTCTCTGTACTGTCTAAATTGTTGTTAAAAAATAAACGTATTTCTTTTGGGAGTAGAAGGTTATTTTTATTTATTTATTGTAATTAAACATTTTTTTTTTAATGTTTATATTTGAGAGCGAGCGAGAGCGAGCAAGCAGGGGAGGGGCAGAGAGAGGAAGAGATCTTGCGTGAATCTCAAGCAGGCTTGGAGCTGTCAGGGATGCTGGGCTCAGGTCCACGAACTGTTGAGATGACCTGAGCTGAAGTCAGAGCCCAACCGACTGAGCCCAGGCGCCCCAGAAAAGGTTACTTAAAAGTATGCAACCTTGAGGTGACGAAGATGATTCTGATTTTTTTTTAAGACAGCCTGGTCACAACACAACAATGTGGATGTACTTTATACCACTGAACTGTGCACACGGCATGTGTTCAAATGGTTAAGGTGTTAAATTTTATGTATATTTTACCCCAACTAAAAAAAAACCCAACAATAACACCATCATCATTAACAACTACAAAAAAATTCAACACCATCATTATCATCCACAACTACAACCCCCTCCCCCAAACCATAAGCAAAGAAGAAAGTTCTGAAGGTGTCCCTGGGACTGTCAGCAGTGATGCGATGGGACTGTTTTCTTCCAAATTTATGTTTGATTTTGCAGCCCAAATTTCCGTCTGTGAACACTTCTCAGTTTTGTAGCCAGCAAAGTTGCGTCTCTCGGTGTTTACGCAGAGCCCGGCTCCCGGTCCGAGCCACGCGTCCGAGCCCAGCCCCGCCGCTGCCTTGGGCGTGACCTTGGCCAGCTGGGTGTTGGGGGGCCCTGCGAGCCTCAGTTTCCCACTGTGGGAGCCAGGGATGACAGCTCCCCTCTCTTCCCGCGCGGCCCCGCCCCACGGCCCCCGGATTGGCTCGCGCGGGTCTCCCCCGCGTCCGAAACGGGGCCGGGCCTCTCCCGCTCGCCGGGCCCCAACCCGGAAATGCGGCTCGGAGGCGCCGGCGGGGCTGACCGAGCCGCGACGGAGCGACGGCGGGCTCGGCCAATGGGCGCGGGCGGCGGCAGCAGCGGGGCGGCGGAAGTCCCGCCCA